GGGGACGATCCACAAACAAGGAGGACAGAAAGGTAAAGAGAACCAGGAAGAGGTGGTGCAAGAAGCAAGAGAAGATGGCATAGAGACCTAGAGAGGAAAAGGCCACTAGAGAGCTCTGGTGAAATGAAGGGGGAGGGTTAGAGTTGACAGTGTCCACACATTCCCTGTGTACAAGGAAAGGGATTCAGGTCAGGGAGGGGAATATATGAGGAGGGGCAGAACACAGGAGGGGGCATGAGAGGGGATAGAGGAGGAAAGGATGGAAGCATGCCATGTTAAGGTCTATAAAATCATGACCGGGGTGGAAAAAGTAAATAAGGAAAAGTTATGTACTTGTTCTCATATCATAAGAACTAGGAGTCACCAAATGAAATTAGTAGGTAGCAGGGATAAAACAAACAAAATAAAGTTTTTCCTTCATGCAATGCATAGTCAACCTGTGGAACTCCTTGCCAGAAGATGTTGTGAAGACCAGGATTTTAACAAGGTTCAAAAAAGAGCTAGATAAATTCATGGAGGAGAGGTCCATCAATGGCTATTAGCTAGGATGGGTAGGAATGGTGTCCCTAGCCTCTGTTTGTCAGAGACTGGAAATGGGTAACAAGACAGGGATCACTTTATGATACCTTGTTCTGTTCACTCCCAGTGGCATTGGCTGCTGTCGGCAGACAGGATCCTGGGCTAGATGGACCTTTGGTCTGACCCAGTATGGCCGTTCTTATGTTCTTATGTGAGGGGGCTAAGGACTGGAGTGAGGAAGAAAGGGTATGTGGGGTCTCATTGCTGGGGGGCAGCATGAGAGAGGAGTGGTGGGAGCGCATGGGGGCAGGGGACTGGGCTAGGCTGGGGGAAGGAAGTATATCAGGTAGAACAGGAGAGCAGTGGGGTCGAGTTAGGGAGGGGAATGTTTGAGAGGCAAGAGCATGTCAGGGTGTGGAGGGGGAAGTGTGTGATGGGGTGGGGGCTGGACGAAGGAAGGGATCCTACGGACGTGTGGAAGGCAATGGAAGTTGGGATGGAGGAGTGCATGTGGGGGGCTGAATGAGAGAGACAGGAGAAGAACATGTAAGGGGGCCAGGGAGGGTAATTTATGAGGGGAGCGAGTGTGAGGGATGATGGGGAGGGGAGTGCCCAAGGGGATGGGGAACTTGTCAAAAGGGGCTGGGATGGAAGAGGGAGGGAGGAAGGGGAATATATGAGGGGTGGTGAGTGTCTGAGGAAGAGGGGACTATCTGAGCAGGACTGGGGGTGGAGCAGGGAGCATGTGAGGAGGAGGGAAATGTATGATCAGGGCAGGAGGGGAGGAAGTATAAGAGAACCAGGGATGGGGCAGAGGTGGTATGGGAAGGGGAGGGGAGAGGAGCATGCGAGGAGGCCAGGGACTGGAGTAGGGGGAGGAAGCATAGTATGGGGAGGGGAGAGGAGCATATGAGGGGGCTGGGGCCTCTCCGCTGCAGTGGAAAAGCTGCTGCAGCTCCAGGGGAAATGCTACTTGAATTAATCATGGTGCTGGCTGCCGTGCCAAGCCCAGGAGGAGGTTGCTGGCAAAGGGAGGAAATAACTTTCACAGGAATTTGGAACAAACGTGGCTCTTCTGGCTGTAATAGCAATACTCACCTCCCTCACAGCTCCCTTCCCCCATGTACCACTACAGCCCCTTCCCCTCCTTCCATGAAACCTCTTGGCCCCCATACATACCTCCACCTATTCCCCCTTTCCTCAGCACATCTCCCTCCCCCACCTGCCTCTGCTCTCCCACTTCTACATTTTCCCATCCATTCCCAGGAACTGCCCCACTTGGTTCCTCGAGGGAGTCGGGCACAAAGCTCTGAAAACAGGGTCACTTCCAAACCCCTTCTCCCATGGACAATTTTGTGCACCATAATTGTCTCCCATCTGCTTCCATCACTCTCTGCAATGGAACAGTGTGTGCACCATTATTATCTCCCTCCCACCCCCCCCACACACTTCAGGGAACAGTCTGTGCACTATTATTACTAGATGCAATCCCCACAAAACTCATGTCCTCACTGGCCTTCCTAGCACTTTCATGTGTCGTCTCTGGTCCACCCCACACATCTGGTTATAACCTGTACCTGATCTTGGACCTATATCAAGATAAAGGACATTAGACCTGCTGCAGTCTTGTACTGGCAATTGCCTCATTAAGGCAGTGGCCAGAGATCTTCCCACAACAAAAATGACCAACGATCTGCATTCAACCCCAGAGCCATGGATTCCAACCAGTGTTCCCTTTAGCTTATGCCCATGTGCGGAATGGCTTTTGTGATGTGCACTATGGAGGTGATTTATTAAAAGTCATTCTGCACATGGACAATATGTGGCAGAGGTGGGCCAAGAGGTTGAGGTGAGGGCTCGAGGCTGGGCCAGATAGTTGGCACATGGAAGGGGGTGAGGGTTGCAGCTGGAGTGGCGCTGGGGATGAAGAGTTTGGAGTGCAGAAGGGCACTCCAGGCTTGGTGGTGGGGCCAAGGGATTCGGAATACAGGAGGGGGTGCGGGTTGAGACGGGGTTTGGGGTTCAGGAGTTGGTGAGGGCTCTGGGCTAGACCTAGGGATGAGGAGTTTGGGATGCAGGAGGTGGCTCACAGTGGGACAAGGCTCAGGGTGGGGCTCAGGCTTACCTGGGCAGCTCCTGGACAGTAGCTTTAAGGCAGGCTGACTGGTGCCTCCTTGTCCCGGGGCACTGCACTGCACCCCAGAAGTGACCAGCATATCTGGCTCCTAGGAGTGGGGGCATCAGGTGCCACAGTTGCTCTTGCCTGCAGAGCAGAGGCAATGCGTGGAGCCCCCAGCCTAGAAGGCAGAGCTGTTGCACTGGTCTCTTCGCCAGCCTCATGCCCAGCCATGGCAGCTCCATGCTGGGGATGTGGGAGGGGTGCCTCTCTCCCAGACATGGGAGCTTCAGGGTTTGGGGAGAGGCATCTCTCCCCGCTGCAGCCCTCAGCCCCTGCATGGGGCTTAATGGGATGCTGCATAATCACAAGACCACAGCATGCACTCATAACACAAGGAGACAAGCACCTGGTGAATCGTTACTATTTTACCCTGGCCTTGCTGACAAGCTGGTCTGCAAACAGCTCCATACTCCTTATTGATCACACTGATCTCCTTGGCTATCTGACACCCTGCACTGGATGAAGAAAAAGGTGCAGCAACAGGCAGAAAACAAAGGCTATCAGCCAACAAAGGATCAAACATAACAGATTCCTCAAAGCCTATGCTGATGCTGTACTGCAGGCCAAGAGAACCTATCAGCCTCCGTTCAAACTGCCAAATGCAGCCCCAGGAGCAATCTAGGGGTGGTAAATTGCTTCATCCATACTTGGTGCTTAGAATCTGCATCAGAGCTGAACATCAAGTGTTGCAAGGAATTACCACACACTTTCAGGAATCCTTCTCAAAATGCTTGGATTTGCATCAACTGCACCCACCAGCTATCACCCCTCTCCCCGTTGCAGAATTCAGCACTACCAACTACGTACCACGAGGCGTACAGATAGTTCGGAATAGCTTGCTAGTCCGAACTATCTAGCCCGTGCCGCGTGTAGCCGCGCGGCACGGGGTTCGAACAAGCCGGCATTTAAAAATGGCGCCGGCCGGCTTATGCAAATAAAGCCCGGGAAATTCAAATCCCGGGCTTCATTTGCACGTTTGGTATGCATACATTACCCCGCTAGTTCGCACTAGCGGGGTAGTGTAGACATACCCTAAGTGACTAGTCAACTAGCCAATAAGCATACGCTCATCGGATAGCTGACTGGTGACTCCTCCTTTCTCCCCACTTACTGCCTCTATTGAGGGCGAAGGGGGCAGCAGGCAACTCAAGAGCAGGGCTCTTGCTACATTTCAAAAGCAGAAGCACCACAGGGAGCACAGGGTCAGCAGGGGACTCATGCATTCCCCCACTGGCCCTGTGCTCCCCGTGGTGCTTCTGCCTTTAAAATGTAGCAAGAGCCCTCAGGACTCTTGCTACATTTCAAAGGTGGAGGCACACTAATCGACTAGTTGAATAGTCGATGCAAATTCCATCGACTATGCAATTAGTTGATTAATCTAAATTTAACATCCCTGCTACCAACCATAAAATTTACTATCTCACCTGAGGTGAGACTTCCAAGGGAATGCACTAAAATGGCTTGAGTCCTCCCTGGAGAGATGCATCCAGAGGTGTAACGGGAGACTGCACCTCGATGGCTAAAAATCTCACCTGCAGGGCTCCACAAGGATCAACTGATATTTTATCTTTTGTCCTTTTCAACATCATCTACATGCAGCCACTAAGTGGTTGGACAACATGGACTCAAGCACCAGCAATATGCAGAGGACACAGATTTACCTTTCCTTCGCCACACACCACTGCCAGCAATGTGATCCAGAGCTTTGGTGAGATCAGCTCATGAATCAAAGATGCCTGACTGACACTGAATCCAAGCATGACAAAGGTGATACAGGTGGGGCAAGGGAGTTATCTTAAGACATTTGAAGCCAGGGTGCAGTCTCCTTTGATTGAGGCTCGCGAAGCATACTCCATGGCCCGCAAAGCCGCCCCTGTGCCCCTACAAAGGGCCCCCAACTACCTGGGCTCACCTGGTGTAGGGGAGCCATCCAGCGAGGCGAAGCAAGATGGCACTGGCCGACGGGAGCCTGATGTGGCCAAAAAGCCAAAGCCAACCCAGAGTTTTCATTTAAAGGGGCCGCATCTTATTTTGACTCTTTGCCTGTAACGGGTTGGCCACCCCTGGTCTAGGACTATCTTGGATTCCTCACTGAGCTCTTACACCACAACGGCCATGAGTAATGCTTTCTACCATCTCTGGCTGGACAGGAGACTCCAGCCCATCCTGGCAGCTGAAGACATGGCCTCAGGGATTCATGCCTGCCGCACCTCTCGGCTGTACTACAGTAATGTGATATATAGTGCAGAATGTCTCTGTGACAACACAGGCGATGGTAATAGACATTGCATCTGTCCCCCACTCTTCACACTGGTTTCTCTTATCAAGTTCAAGGTCTTGGTTCTTCTCTTCAAAGTACTCCATACCTAAAAGACCATGAGAGCGCTGGGATGAAGATAATGGTTGACAGCTTTGCTCTTCTGGCACAATGGAACTCTCAACAATCAGAGTGAAGCTCATCTGTGCAAGAGACAGAAACTACTCCAGCGGCAAGGTGAGCCTGTGGAATGAATTTGCCCAGAAACTAAGAACCTTCACAGATCTCACCACTTTCCCTTCCAAGTGCAAAGCATGTATTTGACCGTACCTTCCCTAATACAAACACATAGCAACAGCTATATTTATTTTTGAAAATAGTTTAAAAAAACAGACCTATAGAAGACACTTCACTGCACACACTTCTCCAGCTAGTGAGAGGATGAGAGATCAAATACCACGTTGACAGATGTGTAGTCATGTTGCATAATACAGAGGTTCCCAACCTTTTTTATACCAGGGACTAGCAAACCCATCCACAAACTTTTGGTGGACCGGCAACATGCAAACAATGAATATGCAAATAAAATGTTTCGGGTTCACCAAAATATGTACCCCAGCCCCAGCCCCTCATACACTCCAACCCTGACTCCTGCGCTCCCCCTCCCCATATTATGTTATTCAGCCCCGGCCGCCAGAGCAGCCACCTGCTGGGCAGAGCAAGTCCTGGCCACCCCATGGCATGCAGCTGTTGCAGCTCTCT